TAAGGGGACTTAGTGAGGTTTTTTAAAAGCACATGAAGTTTGAAAGGAATAGTGTTAGAGAAGGTTGGTGACAAATTGGCGGGTGGGGGGAAAGGGAGCACTTTTGCTCAAAATGTATTATATATGTATACGAAGTTCTCAAACAACTTGTAAAGATTTTCAAAAACCAAAAATAACCCGAACACCTAACAGTAGAATTAATGAAGAAATTATAGTACCTCATTCAGCAAACTATAAGTGAAATAAAATAAAAATTATGTGAAACTACATACAACAACCAGAATGCATCATACAACAATGAAGAATGACAGAAGCCAGATACATAAACTCCTAAAATACTTGTTATGTGATTCTGTTATATAAAGTTGGCAAGACTAATTTTGTGTTAGAAGTCAGGGAAGTACTGTTAGGCATAGGGAGAGATCAGGAGGAGGCACCAGTTGGATTTCTGGGCTACTCTTTGTGTTCTTTTGCAACTTAGATGGAAGTATAGAGCTATTCACTTGATGATAACTTATTGCAAAAATACTTAAGATTGACTCCTTTAAAGTAAGTCATAAATTGCCTTTGTCCATCAAGGACTAGACTTGTAAGAGCTAAAAAAAAAAAAAAATCCTTAGATATTCTGCCTAACTTATTGGGTACAGCTCTAGAGTTAAGGAGACTGAGTCAAATAGAGAGACCACAGTGACAGAAAAAGCAGATTGGAGCAGAAAACTGTAGAGGGAGGTGTTAGAAAAAGCAGTAGCAGGCTAGCTCCGGGCCTGGCCGCTATGTTCCACTCTAGCATCCCACACTAACAGGCGCCCCAGCTGGCCAGGAGCACCGGCCAGTGACCCACGAGACGTTGGTGTGGCTTCTTCCTCCAGTCAGCTCCATGGACTCCGTGGCTCTAAGCATGGCCCTTGGGCTGACTCCGCCACCATCGTAGTGCTTGGCTCAACCCTAGACAATAACCACCATCCTCGGGGTACCTGGTAGAAATAAGACTCTTAATGCTTAAAGATTATCCAATGGATTTTTATATTAGCAAATACTCAATACACAAGAGGGCCACACAATTAGGATTGTTAACCCAATTACCTAACCTTGATAAGAATAACTACCTTAGACTGCTAGAGACACATGGACATCCTCAGACATCTTCTCTCCTCTCTCCTTCCTCTCCTCTCTCATTCTTTCTTCCTCCCACCTCCTAGCTCCGACTACCTCTTCTACTGCCCAATCACTGACTCTAGGCTTTATTTTACAAATTAAGGTGGGCAGAAGGTTCACAAAGTCACCTGTATACTGATTCACTCCTTGTCTGCAGCCCTTCCTGGGAAAGTGGAATTAGCTTCAAAATCCAAGACCAGGGCTATCCACAACAGAAAACTGTAGGGATTTCCTAGTAGTAAAGAACGGAAACAAGTCCCACATCACTGGAGAGTTAAGTCTTCCTTCGGGCTTTTATAGTTGATAATCTCTGGGGTAGGTAGACCAAAACATTCAAAGAAGTCTAAGCAGAAAGGGTGAGGAGCTAGCATCAGGCAGCAATCTGGTGGGAGTTCAGAGATCTGTCCTATTTAACACTTGAAGGCCATACTGCCTCCTCTTCTTTGGGATGCTTTCCACAATGTGGGTGGGAGGAGTAACCTAGGCCATGGGACCCTGCCTGGGTTTCCATCTAGGGAGGAGTCATTCAGTACTAGTCCCAAAAGAATGAGCTGCCAGATCATAGACTGCAGTCTCAGCTGTTGGCTTCAATGGAAGAGGGTTGGCTTAATGGGGGACTGTAATAAAGAGGGGCTTCTGGAAGGAGTGGGTCTAAATAGGACCATTGTTGATGCTGAAAGCATCCCTAGGGGAAAAGGATTGGGAGTTTTCTTGGCATTTGTGCCACAACAGGATGGGGCATGGAAGAAGTATGAATAAGGTAATGCAAAATGGCATGTCAATGAGAGAGTCTCAGGATTCAGAGGTGAATAAGACAAATCAGATGGTCGTGGACAAAGCAGATAAAAGTTTAGAACTCACCTTAAACCTGCTCAGAGATACAGACTTTTCACTTTTCAACCACAGTCATACTTAGAGAGATGGGGATGTGTGAATCCTAAGATGACCTTGGGCTGAGTATGCAAGGCTCAGGTTTTGCTAACTGGACTCCAAATATCTGAAGCAGTTACACTACAACACCGTGTAAAGTTATGGGCCCTCATTAGTATCCCAACCCCAACTGAAACAGTCACTAAGGAGGGCCATGCTACATTCAACCTGGATCTGCTTGCAGTGAAGAATGGACTCAGAAAGATAAAAGCCAAATCTATCTCTAACCTTGTGTCTGATTACCATAAAATCTTGTCTGTGGATCAGCAGGAGGTGTGCTTAATGTACTTAATGTAATAGTACTATGTACTATTTGACCAGGGTTAACATTGAGCGTAACCACAATGAGTGGCCATTTTGTTTCCCTCTGAAAGTTTTCTTACCACACCATGGTTACCTTGCCAGAGTATAAGACGAAGATTGAGTTGGGAAGTCACTGTCAAAAACACATCAGGAACGTGTCTAATTCCTTGGCACAGGCAGCGTGGGGCATTAGAAAATGCATAGATGTGACGAGATTCCAGCATATGTCAAAGAAAATTATCTAGTGAGAGCACAGAGTGGGTTTTAAAAGGTGAAACTTTAATTAGAAATTTTTTTTGATCCCACGCTAGCAGAAGAGAAAATCCAAACAAATAACTAAATTCACTCCTGCCTCTGCCTACCTGGATTCCTATCTGAGTATTTCATTTGCAAAACAGGCAGAGTCCTGTCTGGCAGAGGTTTCTGATTTCACCCACGAAGGGTGATTTATAGCACAGTGATCTCAGATGTTGTTTTATGTGATGCCCAAAGGAGGAGGGAAGTTTCAATACAGGGATATTTTAGAATACCTTCAGCCATGGAGCAGGACCCCAGTTCCAAGCCAAGTTGAGTTTAAAAGATGTTCAAGATGAAGAATTCTTCCCAGGTTATACACAAATAAGAAGGTTGGACAGATCAACAACATTGGACACCCTTAAGCATGAGTAGAGCTGTAAGCGGGCTAACCTCTGTCCACCCCAGCTCTCCTGCTCCTGGTTACCCATATCTTGGTGTATTTCTCTTCATGGGTCAATTGCTCACCCTATAGAAGGGGACAATTTCACTATCTGTCACAGATATCACACAAATCATAATTTCTCAGATTCTCTGAGACTTGCCAGATTGTTCTCTCTCTCTCTCTCTCTCTCTCTCTCTCTCTCTCTCTCTCTCTCTCTCTCTCTCTCTCTCTCTCTCTTTCTCTCTCCCTCCCTCCCTCCCTCCCCCCTCCTCCCCCCTCCTTCACCCCCCTCTCATTAGCATGTGGGTAACAGCCTATTAAATCTCTCTACACTCAGTTTCTGTACCTGTTGAACTGAGCTGGTGGAAACCAGAATCTCCTTATTGAGTCCACGAAAAGAACAAAATGAAATTCAAGTGATTGAAGAACCTGTTATAACAAGTTCATTATTTAAAACCCATCAGAAGCTGCTGACCACTTGGTTTAAAGAGGATGGCCCCAAGAGGTTAAATAAAGTGAGTCAGATTGAGAATGTGCTACCTAGATGGGTATTTGTAAGGGATCCAGGCAAAGCAAGCAAAAGGTCTCCAGCACTTTGCTGAGCTCATTATTGGATTTGAATCCAGTTCTCCACCAGAATCTTCAGTATAAGGACACCGCTTGTTGGGACCTATGTACGCCAAGCTTCTGGTGTCATTAAAATATCTATTTTTGAGTGATTTCACAAGCAGTGGTGGCAGGTGTTAAACAACTTCAAAAAATTGTCCGTTGAGTGGTATGTGTCTGATCAGGAGGAATGGATGAATTCTGGTCCTATGGGGTAGAGTGGTGGGGGCTCATCAAACAGCTCTTCACATGGCCTATGATAGATAACTTTGCCTCCTAGATATTCTTCCCTTGATTTAAAAAATAAAATTTAAAAGGAAATTAAAGACATGTGTTTCTGGAAATTTACATGTAGTTTATCGAATCTGGTGTTTTTGGGGCAGTGTCTGAAGTTTAATAAGACTAATGAGTCTCTCTCTCTTTTTTTTTTTTTGAAAAAAAAAAGTCTTTAAAAATCTTTTTTTTTTTAAGAAAGAACTTGAGAGGCTTTGAAAATTGTTCCAAAGAGTAAAAACAATAATATTAATAAATTACTCAAAACTTTCAAGCCCTGCAGGTTCAAAATTGACTTAATACCCTGAACCCAAGAGGTTTGAATTATTACTGGAGTTCATTGTCTCTTGTTCTGGGGCTTTACAGAAGGGAGGAAGAAGCCACATGGAGGGTCACTAAAATTCATTATGAGGTTTGCATCATAGCCATGGCCATATCCCTGGAGACTTTCTGAACCTTCTCAGCCTGAACTTAGACAAGAATCTCCAGCCTGACACTCCCTCCCCCCCAAACACACATACACACACATACACACACACACACACACACACACACACATACACACACTCCATCTGGCAATATCAGTAAATTGACCTGTTTTATGCTCCAGATACAGGAGCCAGAGCTCTCCATGAATGGTTCTCCTGTGGGGAACACAATCTATATTATATAAATGGGTGATGTGCTATTAGACAGCTAAACAATGGTGTGGAAAGAGAACAACTTTGGTGAATGTGGAAAAAAAATTTAAATAAAATAAAATAAAACAAAATAAAAAGCCAACAGCCTGAAGTGGCTTCTTGAACAGACGTCCCCTGAACGTTCTACACTGTTGCCTGACGACCTCTTGTGGTGAAATCTTTGCCAGCAAGTGTGAATCAGGGCTTCTTAGCCAAGCCATCCCGTGTTACATTTTCCTACATTCTCTTCCCCGCCGTTTTGTCACTCACATTAAGCAAGGAGCAAGAACCAGTTGCAAGCACCCAGAATAAAGTTGTGCATGTGCCTGAGTGGCTGTCATTTAACAAATGTTACCTGGTGTTTTCTCTTCCAGGGAGCCTCTGATATATTGCCTGTAGCAAGAAGAAGGGACCAGCACGAAGAAAAACATGCCATCTGCACTTGCTTTCATGCTACTTGTTCTCAACATCAGCCTCCTGACTGGTAAGAGACTCTCTTCTTGCTCTCCTTGCCTGGAGTGATTATCAGGGGGTGGAGAGGCTGTCTCGGTCTGTTACAATGCAGCTGTGAGAGAGGAAAATGTCTGTGTCATGTGCTGCTACTAAATTATTTGCCATATTTCTTCATTAAAATTAATGCAAAATCTTGTCATGGACTCGCTCTCTTCCATCCCCATTTTGAGAGGGGACTGAGAGGGCCCTGGAGATGAAGGTGCCATCCAGGTTCTTACAGTTACCAGCTGTGTGACTTGAACCACTTGTATGTTTCTCCGTGGTTTGAATTTCTCGAAGGGAGGATAGTGATATTTCACATCGTTCAGATGAATTAATGTATTTGAAAATGCTCTTGGAAAACCATGAAATAACATAAAGGATTGCTATTACAAGGTGGGATAGAAGTGTAGCCACTTCCAGTACGTGTGCTACTCACAGAAAAGGTGTGTGATTGCCTACATAGGTTTCTACATCTACTTCTATGTCTTTCTGGGGATGTGTACTTCTGAATGTACCAATGTACATACCAACTGTTTATAGTACTGAGCCGTAAATGCTTCTGTGTGAATATGTGTGTATGTGTGTATGTGGATACCAGTGAGTAACCTCTGTGTTTGTTGTGTATATTGGGTACGTGTCTATATATTGGTGTGTGTGTGTGTGTGTGTGTGTGCATGTATCAATGTATATTGCCATCATTATGCCTTTGCATGTATTTCTCTCTGGATATGTTTATATGAATGTTATGCATTATCTGTGTATATGGAATTGGTGTAGGCAAGTGTCTGCATTTCTTGGACTTGTATAATATCCCTTGTGTCGCACTGAGATAATCCATAAACTTTTTTTCCTCTAGGGACATGAAAGTAACATTTGACTAGTCATTTCACATCCTTACCTTTTCCCCTTAAAAGTTGTTTGGTTTGCTTAATTTTTCAAGACAGGATTTCTCTGTATAGCCCTAGCTATCTTGGAACTCATTCTGTAGACCAGGCTGGCCTCAAACTCAGAAACTCACTTGGCTCTGACTCTTGGGATTGAAGAGGTTTTTTTTTTTTTAATGAATAGTTCTCTCTACATCACATGCTTCTTCTCACCCATGGCAGAAACAAACAAGCAAAAGAAACCTTGTATTTTTGCAATGACTCCCAAAAGCACTATCCTGACAAAATCTTTCGTGGAAGATGAAAAATGTCCAGATGTTGGTAGATCCGCACAAGGCTCACACAGATTCTTTTCAGTAGTTTGAGCTACTGTGACTCTCTTCTGGCCAGCCTTCTTTCCATGGCCCCATTTGGTATACCATACTAGATTTCGTACAGACCCCTTTTCCAATTCTTGATCCCTTGCCATGATTGCCCTGACCTGCTCTGCTGGATGGGTGGCAGCTAAAGTTCCATCCTGAGAACCGGCATGAAAGATTAAATAAATGTGGGAGAAGATATAGAAGAACCCTGAGCTGCTAACACCAAGGCAAAAGAGGGAATAGAAAATAAGAAAATATACCATCAGTTATAATTGGCCTCCCAAGCCAACAGCATCATGACAAAATCCCAAGGTTATTCTGTTCCTTTCAGCATAACAGTCAAGCATGAGAATTAGAGATCAGCTTGCCAAGAGTTCTGGAGATTAGGCAAGTGAAAAACCTTACCCCTTTGGCCACCTCACCTCCTGCCTACCTTCTTACATCTAGCCTGAGAGTGGAAACAGTTCTCATCTAGTGATGATACAGCTCTTCAGTCAGGGTGGAATGACCCTCTATCTTACCTCTTACTATACTGCTTCATAAAAAATCTTCAGAACTACAAGGAAAGTTTGAGTTACCTCCTCATACAAAAGAACAAAAGAAAGGGGATCAGGGCATAAATGCAAAAGGAGACTAAGACTGAGATTCAGTAAACAGCAAAAGGAAGAATTACAAGATAGTAAAACTGAACCATTAGTCTGCAGAGTGCTCAGCCACATGTAGGATTCACAAACAAGTGTGTGATTGTATGCCACTCACACACGAGGCTCAGGGGCCATTTGGGGAGAAGGGACAAAAAGACTGTGGGAGCCAGAGGTCCAGGAAGACTAGAACAATGAAACATTGTCCTTTGAACACCATGATACTCATAATTTCACAGTGACCTGCATAAGATCAGCCCAGTTAACAGTCCATCACAGAGAAGGGAGGGGCTCCTGAGTCCCCACATCTAAGTGAAGCACTATTGAGAGCTGGCAGTTTCAAAGAACTAAGAATAGGTTGTCCTTAAGTACATAGCCCCTGGTATGTCAACTAGACTCCAGTGAGTAGCTTGACATTCATAAGTATATAAAGAGCACAAATCACACTGTGTGTGTGTGTGTACGTGTGTGTATGTGTATATGTGTGAGAGAGAGACAGAGACAGAAACAGAGACAGAGACAGAGAGAGAGAGAGAGAGAGAGAGAGAGAGAGAGAGCTGGTAGGGATAAGGGCTAGAGGTACATCTGAGAAGAGTTAGGGAGAGAAGTGAGAGTGAATGCATTCAAAATATATTGTATGTGTGTATAGAAGTTTCAAAGAATTAATAGGAATATATTTTTGAAAGCAAGGTCATTAGGCCAAGGCTGCACAGAATCAAAGTAAAGGAGAAAACAAGAATAGAGAAGACAAGGGAGGGATGGAGGAAGCAGTAGCCCAGGGACACCCAGATAAGGGACCATAAGTGATGTAAATGAAGACAGAGGAAGAGTTGGTTTTGCAAGAATGCCAGAGAAGTACCGATTCCTAGGCAGAAAAGAGAGAGCATGCAAGAAAGCAGGGCACTGACAGTGTATGCATAGGTCACTAGTCACTGAGGAAGAAAGAATGTTTTCCATGGTAACCCTAATGCCTTCTAGACTCTGTGGGAAGAGGTGCTACAGAGTCTCCATGTGCGTCCATCCTTCTCCCCTCAGCCTCACCCTTCACTGAAATATTTGTGACTGGTGTCTACAAAATTTATTGATAACTCCACCTCAAAATGCAAATGTATACCACCACCAAACAACATCTAAGTCTCCTTTGGGCATTGCAATAGCACAAAGAAATATAGTTGGTTACTGGTGCCATGGCCTTCCCAAACAATACACTAAGACTTCCTCACTGGCCAGGGTGCCAATAATCGGCCTCTGTTGCTAGGAGCTCAGTCACTCAGTTGAATGGACTTCAATAGTAACTCAAATGGCTGACTGTTTTTTTGATTTGTTTTGTTTTGTTTTAGGACAGTCACCACCTGGAAAACCTAAGATCCACAAATGCCGTTCCCCTGACAAGGAAACATTCACCTGCTGGTGGAATCCTGGGTCAGATGGAGGACTTCCTACCAATTATTCACTAACTTACAGCAAAGAAGGGTAAAAGAACTCTTTCCTTAATGTCAAACCCAAGCAGAGTGCTCACACTCTCCCAGGCTCAACTTATGTTGGTTCTGAGTTAGAAATACCATGCTTTTTTGAATTTTTACCAATAAGGTTCATTCCACCAGGAAAGGAACCTTGTTCTGTAAATTTTTTTTTACAGAACAATCTTCAAATGCACATTGACCAGTAGCATTATAATATTAACCAAGCTTCCAATTGTCTGTCACAAGCTTAGATTGCAGACCAAGTCACCATTTCCTAAGTGTTGGCTAATCATCCATAAACCACATACCATTGAGCAGTGTAGCCGCTAATCCACAAACCATATACCATTTGTAGGTTTTTTTCCTTCGTTAATACACTACTTTTGTAACATAACTGAATTATATAAACTGTGCTGTAATCCTTGGCAGCCAGGGTATATTAGACTTTCAAATATGTTTTATGCCCAAGAAAATAAATAACCTGTAAGGAAAAGAACTCGAGGATTATTTTTAAGCAAATGGCTATTGTATAAGATGCAATCTCAGCCAGTCATGGGAGTGCACATCTGTTATCCCAGCATTCTAGAAGCTGAGACAGGAAGATTACAAGTTCAAAGACAGTCTGAACTATATAGAGAACCCTATTCTAAGCACAACAAAGGAATAAAAATCAAGATCTCCTAGAAGGCATATTTAAATGCCCATGAGGGCAAAACAAGATCATCACAAGATGATAATTTTGATAAAATCACCATGAGCCCCTCATAGAAATCTTAAGTGAACTATAGAAATGTTAGTTTAGCAAAAAATGCACCTCTGTATCTTGGACCTAAAAATAAAATATGTATTACTAATGGACACAGCTGTGCCACTTTCTAAGGATTGCTTGTACACAAAGCTGTCCACCCATCTGGGATCCAAAGACGAATATCACAAATTCTTAAAGAACTCAGAACTGAAACAAACTCCAAACCCTGTGTGGTATGAGAGGAGTTGAGGCTGTTAAAATATGAGCATCTTAATGAGCCACACGGAGCTGAAATATCCCCTTTCACGCACTCCAAACTCTGTTGATCACTTGACACCATCTAAGATACATTGGCATCAGTGTGTCTCCCTAACATCCTTTTTAAAAAATGCAGCTCGGCATGTTTGTGTCACCACTACTGCATTATGGATGATCCCATAATATGTCTATGTGCTAATGAAGGTTCCCAGCTATCCAAGGCTGCCCAATGGTGATACAATTGGTATGAGTGTGGCTTGGCCACTGGTAACTCAGAAGGACAAATCACAAGGTGCATAGAAACACCTGCAGAAAAGGGTTATTAAACAGCAGAGCTCTGGAGTGCTAAACTGATTTTTCCATCCCTTCTTCCAACTTCCCTCACTCCCCGCTGATATGACCCACAGGAACCCATTTGTCTGCTTTCATACTTATTCTTTGAATGCTTTATCCTCATAACTCCGTAATATTAATCTATTAAGAACAAAAATGAGACTGCTATTTTCTTCTTCATTCTTAATGCATTATACGTTGCAGAGAGAAAACCACCTATGAATGTCCAGACTACAAAACCAGTGGCCCCAACTCCTGTTTCTTTAGCAAGCAGTACACTTCTATATGGAAAATATACATCATCACGGTAAATGCCACGAACCAAATGGGAAGCAGTGCCTCAGATCCACTTTATGTGGATGTGACTTACATCGGTAAGGGAAGGGGAAGGGGGTGGGGACTTTGTTACTGTTTCATAGTTATCAAAAGTCAAACTCCATCTGGGTCTTCCTGGCTAATGGGTGGATTCCAGATGAGAAAGGTGAGGGAACTCACAGTATCTTTGTTAAGAGAGCATTTCACACTAACAGTATTGACTTTTCATAGAGAGATTAGTACTTGAGATCTTCACATTCTCATATTTTTTCCTCAAAGCTAACCCTTGTGTCTTATACCCAGTGTGAGTGTTCTGTGTGCCTCTTTTATTAATACTTCCCTCTGCCCTCTCTCTGCGACTCTCTGGCCCTCCCTACCAGCCAACTCAAGTTTCTTTTCTAGTTTGGTGGGGGTGTGCTGGAGGTGAAACCCAGAGCTGGTCAAAAAGGCAAGATCTCCCACAGATCTACATCAACAGCTCCAAAGGTCACTTCTTTCTCCTATTAGGAGACAGGGATGCTCTCTGGAAATTAAGGAAATTAAGGTGGAAAAAAGATCTGATTCAATATGCATGGGAATCAACCCAAATGCTTTGACTGAAACTCAGATTTTAACACTATTATATCTTCTTCATTATTAATTTGAGATATTATTATTATACAAAGTCAAATGAGGATGATTTGGGTATGCCTTAATGACAGGGTGCTACATAGTATGAGTAAAAAAAAAAAAACCCTGGGGTGAAGTATCCCCAAAATATTATAATGATAATAATAATAATAACAACAGTGACAATAGGAAATATGGCTGAAAGCTAATGTCATTTACATAATGTTTGGGGAAAGTATTCATAAAGCCAAGCAATCTATCTGAGAGATGTCTCTTTGCACAGTCAGCATTATGCATCAGGGCAATTGAATACAGCTACAATGCCTTTTATGGTTTACCACAGACAATAAATAAACTCCTAGGAAAATAGATAGGATAAGGAAAATGAGGTTTATCATTTGCCTTAGATAATAATTTATGAAGCAGTTAATAAGATTTGAAATTACTCAAGTCTTCCTAATTTAAGTTATAACATGCAACAAGAGAAAGCAGGCAGGGGCCTTACAATATACACACATCTCCCTCTCAACTCCATGTCTTCATTTTTGTTTGTTTATTTGTTTTATTTGTTTGTTTATGTCTAATAATACACTGTATCCAATTAGTGCTACACATATGGGGGTTTTCCAGTTTGTCATAGGCAATCTGCAAGTAACTACTTCCCTCTCCCTCAAAGAAAAGTGATTTTTTTCTCTTCTAGTCTCTACCAACTGCTAGTAGCTTTTTAGCTAGGGGTCAGGCCTCAGGAGTCCTTCTCACTCCATGTTAAAAGTTTCGACTGATTTGATCTTGTGCAGATCCCTTACAGATAGCCACAGCGGCTATGAATTCATGTGTACAACAATCATGTCATGTCTAAAAGACAGCATTCCCCAACTCTCCTCCTCATCCTCCAGTTATTACGTTCTTTCTGCCCTCTCTTCCATAATGTTTCAAGAGCCTTGCGGAGAAGGAGTTGATACAGAGGTTGCCTCTACAGCTGGACACTCACAGTCAAGAATAAAAAACATGTTATTGACCAACAGGAAAGAGAAGATGAGGCAAGCCAGCACCCTAGTAATTTCAGCATTAGGAGAGTAGTTCCATGGTCCATACTTGGAAGAGTCTGAGATTAGGGGCCTCATAAACATGCTCTGTGGTTATTTTTTAATTGTAAAATACATATAACAAAATCATCATTTTAAAATAATAGTAAGCTATATAATTCATAAGATTAGTTCATTCAGAAAGTTACATACCCATTAGTTAATTCTATCTCACTTCTGAGGGAAAAAGGCTATTTTAAATTGATTCCAAATAAATCTGCCCCTGTGCTTTAAATAACACTCATGTTGAATATGTTCCTTAGACTAGTAATTGTTCCACTTCTGCACCTGAAATACAGGTTCATGACATTTGGGGAGGGGCTTAAATAATGGTGCATCATTAAAGCATTGTTTTATTTTCTTAATTGAAAATAGATTCTTCTTGCACAGAATACAGTCCAACCCCACTGTCCCCTCCCTCCATTCCTCCCTGGTATGCATTCAAAAAATCTTAATGAGGTAAATGACTGTAGGATGTTCCTCACCCTCCCAAAAGTCACCACCACTCCTGAGAAAAGGATGGCCAAGTCCACACCCTGAGTCCACACTGGGAGGTGACAGCATTGCTTCTATGTAAATAATGTACTACAAAATTTTGTTTAAACCTTCTGCCTTAATATTTCTTTAGTTTTGTCTTTAATTTCTGAATAGTCAGCCATCATGATCACTTTTTTGTCCCCCAACTTGATATACAAAGGCTTTGGTCTACCTGGGAGTGGATTGAGGTGTTGAGGTAGCCAAGGCTTGCCTGTACAATTGACTTGAGACCATTTTAATAAACTGTACACCTTGAGAAAATAAAGAAATGTTAAACATTTGCTAATGGAAATTCAGTAAACATTTGATTAATGAATTAATGAATTAGCTAACAAGTTGTTTTAGGGTTAACTAGGGAAACACTGTCAAAAAGTTCAAGTACTGTGCATACATTAACCATTTACTATTTGGCAGAGTGAATGCTGTTCTCCATAAGGAGTAATCCATATTTTGAGTGTAGAACATAGTTAGTTGATGAAGGCAAAAATCTGTAAACTTGTTACCTGAGAAATTATAAATGGGTGCTGCACAAAAGGATGTGCAGTTTTTTCTTCAAAGAGATGCTTGCTACCAACTAAGGGAAAGAAACCATTTCAAATCTCTTTCCCAATAATCACATATAGTAACTCCAATCTCCACTGTTATTGCATAGCCATTCTCCTCAGGAAAAGAATGTAAATATGCATACGAACCTGGTTGGTATTAAGTAGAAAAATACAGTCAAAACAAAATCTACGTTGGTTACTGTTGTTACCATTCAAACCCTATGTTCACGTACAAACATGATTGATTACATAGTAAGAGGAAAAATGTATTTATCATGTCCTCTAAGAGCTCGGAATACAGTGGAGAAATTGGGCTGATAGAAAATGCAAGTTCTGTTAGAGTACAGAAAAGAAGGTCCAAGCAGTGAAGGAAAATAAAATTTCTTTTGTATCTACAGTTGAGCCAGAGCCTCCTCAGAACCTGACTTTAGAAGTGAAACAACTAAAAGACAAAAAAACATATCTGTGGGTAAAATGGTTCCCACCCACCATAACTGATCTAAAAACTGGCTGGTTTACAATGGAATATGAAATTCGATTAAAGTCTGAAGAAGCAGAAGAGTGGGAGGTAAGTCAAACAGAATCTTACTGGCGGAATCATGTCCTTTGACAAGGATAAACCTCTTACAGTAGAATAGATTATTTCTGTAATTAGTTGCCCACCATGTTGGCATTCCCTTGTAAACATGGCTCTCCTGAGTATGAAATTTCCTCTCCTTTCTACTGAGATCAAAAGCTGTTCATATTCAGAACTCTCAGAAAGACAGCTGCTTGTATTGGACAGGCTCCCAACTTGCCTTCCTAAGGATGTATCAGATCCAGATGTCTCTAGAAGAACATAAACTATATTGAGACTGAAGACAAGAGAATTTCAGTTTAATCCATACACACTCAATATGTTTTTAAAGAAATACTTGATAACACTTCATGATAAAAACATAAGGTCACAATCATAGGCATTATGCTTTTCTACCCTTAACTATGTCTCAGAGTATATGTCTCTGTTGAAAGGCGACATTTGCAAATGTAGTCAAAATTAGAATCACACATTTTTTAAAGGTAATTAAAAAATCCCTAAATAACATAATAATTAGACTATATTTTTAATCTGCTCTGTCTTGTTTTCCACAAAATAAAATATTTATTAACTGGTTTGTCCAAACAGAATTCTATGCTAGAACAGTTTTGATGCAGTGAGGACAGGAGGTCACATAATGATGTCACACAATCTTCACTTTTTTTATTAATCCTTTGTTTAATCACTTAGGTGCTGTCCCTGCTTCAGTGACTTTTGCAACCAGACTTGATATTTAAGGACTGAATTATATTCAAGTTGAATAACATGTAGCTCAACATACTGCATAAGTAATTAGTATAAACTTCATACTACATTCATCATCATCATCAAGATGCATGAGCCATCTGGTCAACCAGATGTTTTTAACAAGGATCTTTCCTCATAACAAAATTCAGAAGTGATTTCTGTTTTCCTTGTTCCTCCTTAGATCCATTTTACAGGTCAACAAACACAATTTAAGGTTTTTGACTTATATCCAGGACAAAAGTATCTTGTCCAAACTCGCTGTAAGCCAGACCATGGATACTGGAGTAGATGGAGCCAAGAGAATTCCATTGAAATACCAAATGGTGAGTATTTGGGTTATACTTTTTACTTATACTTTTATATTTATGACTTATAAATAGTATGAACAATAAAAATTCACGTAATAGCTATTAATATAGAAACTATTTTGAGCCTTATCTAGAAAAAATAGAAATGTGATTATCATCTCTTAATCTAACAAAAAGATATTTGAAGGAATTGTAGTACTGTCTGAATCACAGTTGGTAAACACCAAGTTTTAGAATAAATTTGTAGGTATAAGCTTATAATGTCTTCCCAGGACTCACTGGTCATTATTCTAACCTCCCTGTCTGTCTTATGCCTACTAAGTATTGATGGATTGCTTTTCAAGTCAAGAAATATAAGTAGAAAGTAAAAATATTGAGTTCATGAGTTTCATGTATTATGTTGTCTGGCTGTTTGGTTTTTAAAGATGATGTTATATGTGATCAAAGCTCTCTGGCTGTTTGTCTTTTAGACTTCACCTTGAAAGACACAACCGTGTGGATCATTGTGGCTGTTCTCTCTGCTGTCATCTGTTTAATTATGGTCTGGGCAGTGGCTTTGAAGGGCTATAGGTACTACACTGTCTCTCAGCCCTTCTCTTGGTCATTGTTATTGGGAATAATGACAAAAAGCACTGATACAAAGATGAGGGAAAACAGCAAACAGCCTAAGCAGCTCATTTATCCATTAGTCCCAGTAATTTTCCTCATACAAAAAAAAGTAATCTTTTTTCAGAGAATTTTTTTTAAGTATTAAAATGTACTTATTTAAATCCAGTGCTCTTTCCATCAAATAGGGGCTTATAGCTGTAAAATTGTGGAAACCTGGCAAATGCAGCCAACATTGAGAAAAGCAAATAGAATAATCCAGTAGCTTGAAATCATCAACCAAAATTAGCCAGCGTAGGGTGTAGTGTGTGTCTTCACAATTACCTTTAGCATTTACTGTTACTTTCACACAGCTATAGACTTCAACCTCTTATAGCCCATGAACCAGCTCTTTGGGAATTAGAAAGAAAAAGAGAAGCTCTTTCAAATCTTAACAATGAAAAAATGAGTCATTTATCCACTCTCGCAAATTATTTTATAGCATGATGTCCTGCATCTTCCCACCAGTTCCTGGGCCAAAAATAAAAGGATTTGATACTCACCTGCTAGAGGTAAGTGCCAGGAGCAGAGAATGCACTGTGACTCACTGCTTGATGACAATTAAGTCCACACATGCACACACAATCCCCATCAAACCAGTATGGCCTTCTTGATCATCCTTTTCCAGTGGTCCCTCCTCAGCAGCACATATGTTAACAGAAGGAAGCATTTGGGATGAATGTGTTAATCATCGTATTCTAAATGTCAGAGAGCAAGGAGAGAAACCAAAGAAACACCCAAATTCATGATGCGGCATGCTCTATTGCCCAGGGCTGCTACTGAAGACAGAGATGACTGTTTCATTCAAACAATGAATCTTTAAAGATAGTTTAACTAACTCGTTACCACTATCTCCATTACTCATGAGTCAAAGCTTCCACTTGAATGTTCTTTACATAAACCATTGTGACAGAATTTCCCATTATCCCTATGCTCCATGTGAGCAGTCAATAAATCAGTACTCTATGGGCTGGTGTTTTCTTAAGTGCATTAGACTGACCTGAGACAAACCTAAAGCATTTGTCTCTAGGTTGACATGTACAGTTTCAATTTTACCTTAACAGTGATGTATAAAGAAGCTTTCACCTGTATTTAAAGGTAAATGCCAGCTGATGTTATTATCATGAATTTAATTTGTCTTCCAAAATCACTTTGATTGTAACTATTACATTAAGGACTAGAGCTAAGGAGTTTGGACTTCGGGTCCAGTGATCTTACCACCATTCTCCAGTCCAGTATTGACATTTATAAAACCAACAGGAACATCTCAGCTAAGCAGGTTACCCATTGTCTATCTTACAACATAACCTAATAGCCACAGAGACTTGATGATAAATGGCTATTTAGAGTTAAGCTTTGATATTCTTTCTTCCATTATCTCTAATGCTCAAAAGAACCCTTGCAGAAAACTACTGCTACTCCTATCATAAAATTGGAGAAGCTGTGGACCAGCAAGGCAAGTAACCTACCCGAAGTCATAGCTACAAGATAAGGGATAAAAGCCAAGGCTTAGGTATGTGGCCTACATTAGAGGACTGAGAAGAAGGGGGAGGAAGATTGGAAAAGGAAAGGGTTGAGATAAGAGGGAGAGAAGCAGGAGTAGAGGAAGACAATGTAGAATAGCAGGATGAAAGAGGAGGAGGAAGGAGATGAAAGAAGTAGAGAAGAAACTAAAAATTATAGGACCAGAAGAGAAAGGAAAGGAGAGGTAGGAACTAGGAAAAGGAGTGTGAGAAGGAAGAGGAGTGGCAGAAGCCAGAAACAAGAACCAGTTCACTGTCATCACAGTCCAGAAAGTGGTAAAGGAGGCTAGGAAGCTGGCTACCATACCTCAGAACTACTCAGCCAGGGAGGATCAGTGTCACATGCATATGCAAACACTATGATATCAAATCTTTCACAAGACATTTTCACTTTGTAGTTATGTGTTTATTGTACATTGAGTGTTACATGCCCATTAAGTTCATAACCATTGTTAGAACCACAGGGATAAGTTAGGAGAGACATGAAAAGAAGGATTTAGCAAGTAGTACTGAAAAAGTGCCTCTAGGTGGCCTGACACACACATCTGCAGTCTGGGGAGGGAGGGATTCTGTGAGATGGCTCACAGGGGCCTTCTCCTGAGCAGAAGGAGGTGGAAAGCTTCCATTCCAAGACTAAGCAAGATACAGCCTGGCTGCTGCCCCAGGAGCAGAGCCCCTTTACTCTGCTCAGATACCACTCAGCTGTGACGCCAAGAGTGGCATGTGATGAAGCTAACAACCATCTCTCCTTGTATCTGTGTTTCAATAGAAGGGCAAGTCTGAAGAACTGCTGAGTGCCTTGGGGTGCCAAGACTTTCCCCCCACTTCTGACTGTGAGGACTTGCTGGTCGAATTCTTAGAAGTGGATGACAATGAGGACGAGCGGCTAGTGCCATCCCATTCCAAAGAGTATCCAGGACAAGGTGTTAAACCCACACACCTAGATCCTGACAGTGACTCTGGTCACGGAAGCTATGACAGCCATTCTCTTTTGTCTGAAAAGTGTGAGGACCCCCAGGCCTACCCTCCTACTTTCCACATCCCTGAGATCATTGAGAAGCCAGAGAATCCTAAGGCAAATATTCCTCCCACTCCTGATCCCCAAAGTACCACTCCCAATTTTCATGCAGATGCATCCAAATCTTCAACATGGCCTTTACCGCCTGGCCAACACATGCCCAGATCTCCTTACCACAGCATTGCAGATGTGTGCAAGCTAGCTGGAAGTCCTGTGGATACACTGGACTCTTTCTTGGACAAAGCAGAAGAAAATGTTCTAAAGTTGTCTAAAGCCCTTGAGACTGGAGAGGAAGAAATGCCTAAGCAAGAGGGGCCAAAAAGCTTCCCTTCTGACAAACAAAACACACCTTGGCCGCTGCTCCAGGAGAAAGCCCCCACTGTCTATGCTAAACCCCCAGATTACGTGGAGATTCACAAAGTCAACAAAGATGGAGTGCTTTCATTATTCCCCAAGCAGAGAGAAAACAACCAGACAGAAAAGCCTGGGGTTCCTGAAACCAGTAAGGAGTATGCCAAGGTGTCTGGGGTTATGGATAACAACATCCTGCTGTTAGTACCAGACTCACGAGCCCAGAACACAGCCTTGCTTGGGGAATCAGCCAAGAAGGCGCCACCCTCGCTTGAACAGAATCAATCTGAGAAAGATCTGGCCAGCTTTGCTGCAACCTCAAGCAACCACAGACACCAACTGGGCAGGTTGGATTACCTGGATCCTACATGCTTCATGCATTCCTTTCACTGATAGCTAGACTTATGGAACGATTGGCTAAAATGTGATTTCTCTTCAGGTAACACTACAAAGTCATGAAGTAATGTGGTCTGCTAGCAAATGTTACAGGATGTGGGTATAAAAAAAAGAAAAACACTACTTCACTCCTTCTCACGCTTATGTTCAGCACTTGCCTCTTTTCAACAGCTGATCTCCAGAACAAATCAACTTGTTTCCTGTGATTTGTAGATTTGCTTTTTGCTATTACATATATATATATATAATGTGTGTTCAATGAAATGAAAGCACATCACTTACTATTCTTGAGGGATAGTGCCAACAGGTATAGCCTCTGCAATAGATTTGTCATCTGACAGAAGGTATAAAATAGTCAAAATGACTTAGCACAAGAAGATGACAGATAGGTTGAAAATGCCATGAAAATTGCTCTTAAGAACTGATGGCTAAGCCTTTACACTCCTCTTTCATTTTCATGATGATGGTTCAGATATTGAACTTTTTCAAAAGAATACATTCCAGGACACCAGCCAAATTGTTTACATAATCAGTCCCTATACCTTAATGACCCATTGCCTGTATAAAAATGGAATCATGCCCCCAGTGTTTTCCTAAGGTGAATTGAAAATGTTAAGCATGGGTTATTCTGCTGAAACTTTATTTTATTCTAAGGCTTCTCGAATGTATAGTTTGGGGAAATAAAATTTTCTTACAGAATAAGGCCAATGAATTCCACATAGTAAACCATTTCAATTGTTTTCCTTGCTTCATTTGAGCAGGAGTTAATTTATTATAAACCCTAGTATTTTCTTAGTAGAAAAAAAAATTCCCAAAGACTAACTTTAATCTAAAATGTAATCATTGCAGGACTATAATAGAAGTGTTGCCTTACTGTACATACAATTCTACTTTAATACAGACCCGTAAGTTTAGCAATGTATTTTTGAAGACTATTTTTCTACCGCTTAGGTAAAGTAAAGACTATTTTCTAACTTCCAAGTACTGCTGTTTACGTGTTCAAGTGAGTAGAGTGATTTCTGCTGCAAGGTTACAATGAGTATTCAAAGTTTATCATATATGCAGTCTCTGTTAGATTGAAGTGCCAGGCAACCCATTGCCCATTGAGGAATGCAAAGTGGATGAAAATTTCAATTGAGTACAATAGAGTAGAGTTCATCTGTTTATTTTTATCCCCAGGATACTTTAAGTAGCAACCATCACTGACTTTGGGTTTTAAGGCTTTCTATAGCCCTAACGTATTTCTCCCATGAGCTTAGGGCTCTGCCCACCTATGAGCAAGGCTCACAAACCACCATAAACAAGGGCAGTGATGACTGCTGAAGGTTTCCAAGACAGAGATCTGACTTTGTTCTGTTTACTTTTATCTGAGCAATCCTGAACACAAAAGGATTTCAAGCAAAACCAAATGTCAGCATCTCCTTGGAATACATGCATTTGCAAGATCTTGGCAGAGGCTGTGCTCACGTCACAGATGTCCAGATAAAAGTTTTAAGAAAGCAAGCATCTGCCCAGTGATAACAGTTTTAAAGGTCAGAGGACAGTAGAATCTGAAAGCCAACTACAAGGGCAGGCTTCCTGAGAAGATCAAAGCAAAGCCTTGGGTCTCCATTTAACAATAGCATCTATGACTCACTCTCCCTCTGCTTCTCACCTATTGGCAAATCAACTCTCTCCCCTTTCACCACTGGACGTAGAGACTCTGAACTCACCTCTTGCAAGTTCAATATTTCACCCAACATGCACATGGCAGTAGAAGCAGGATTCAGAGATTCTCCAATGACCAAAAGGAAACATAGAGCCAATGCTTCCAAAACGACAAATGAAAATAGCCAAAGCTTATATTCCTAATACATAAGATGTCTTGTGAACAACAGAAGCATTTGGGAAAGCTGGCCATGCTCATGCAATACCCTGAATCCTCCATACTGAATGTCTGAGAATCAACTGGATCACGTGGGTGCTGCTTGGAAATTTTGTTTGTAGCATCTCAAGACTTTTCGAAGACATACAGAATTGGAGTCTGAATTTTACTACATTTACTAAGCTGCCAGATAACTCACAGGCTTGCTCAAGCTGGAAAAGCATATTTCCCTATGATCATTTTCATGAAAAGTTATTTTCCTTGTCTTGGAAAGTATGGAGCAAGTCTATTTAGCTTGAAATGAGCAACACTGTATGTAAAGAAAAAACAAAAAACTCTTAGTGATTTAAGATTCACAGAGTGATGTAGCTTATATAAAGTCACACAAGACAATGACATGCAAAATAAACACCACTTCCAAGAGGGTCAGTGAACCTAATTCACCTGGAAAACTACTGACAAAGAAAATAAACGCCAAAGCCAGTGCAGACTAAACCTTCTTTCCCAACATATTCTGTTCTTCTCCAGGAGACCAATAAATGCATTTATTTACAAGTCACCATTATAATATTGATAGTGCATATATTGCTCGCAGTTTGAAATTTCTAAAATTTGACTTTAGATATGTAATTTTGCAAATATGAAAAATATGGCTGTTTAAAGTCAAGTTACATTCCACAAAAATAAGTTAGCATTCATGGAAGAAAATCAAACCTATATAGGTCTATTCATTTATTAGAATTTTTGAGGTCAAATATTTTCTATTTGAAAGGCAGCAGCTTGGATGAAAGAAGGCATACTAAGAGCCAACATACTTGGTTCTAGTACTGTTTTGCCTTGGAAAAACCAATTGCCTATTCCAGTTTTCTCTGTGTTGGACCAATAACCTCTACAGCTTTTTGAAATTCAGTCTTCTTGATTCTATGGCTCGTTGAGTAGTTGGAACCAATCCTTTGCATCTTAGTGAAGTTTTCAGGCAATTAGAGAAGTGCAGAACCGCTTTCATCCATGTACCCATCCTGCTTTACTCTTTGAAGTCTCACTACCCATTTGTCTTCACATACTGAACACGTAGTTCATACTATATGGACATGGTGTAAGTCAGACCCAAGGATCATTTGGTAATATGTGTGCTGAGCTAAGATGTAGTGCTAAGAAAGACACAGGAAGTGAGATACAAGTCTTTAGAAAAAGGTACATTTTATGGATTGAGCCATGCTCATTCCTGCATGCAGCCAACAGCCTCAAACTTCTGTTCTTGTATTTGGTTGTTGCCTGTTTTCTCATCATCCTGTTTAATGAATAACAATTGCCCATGTAGATTAAAGAAACTTTTGCTCTGAATCATTTTAAAAATGTATAGTTTTCTAAGCAACTGTCTAAAAATTTCAAGTTATGAAGTACATGGAAACTGAATATATTTGGACCTTTAGGACACAAATGACAAAATGTTCTCTGATAAGTTTTAACAATTACATAGAAGAAACTTCAATATGAGCACAACTTACCATCAGCAATGTCACTGACTTTTAATAGATGATATATTCTCCTAAGTGCCTGAGACCAATCCTGGTGGTCAGTTATAGGTCAATGATTCACTGTAAACCAGTTTCACTGTAAACCAGTTTGGTGGGAAATAGTCAAGCCCTTGTTGCATGTGTAAAATTAAAGTTGGGAGACTCTTTATTTGATATGATCCAAGGGAATTGGTGAATCCTCAGTTAATGAACAACCAAAGGACCTGAACTCCAGAGGAAAGTTTGTCCTGAAGGAAAACTAGCTCCTTTTTTTTTTCTTTTTACTTTAGCTTTCCATCATTTGTAAAGTGACTCAGCCTACCCTTAGCAAACTTTATCATAGACAAGAAATTTATCATAGACAAGAAAGAAAGAGGTTTGTATATGTTTTCAAAGTGCCTTTCTTTGTTTTTAAAAGGTTTCATTTTGGAAGAAAAGTGCATTAATTGGAAAGTAAATTTTATCTTAATGGGTTTCTCTTAAATAAATGGAGAGATGAACAAAAATAAAACAGAAAGGGGATGACAAAATGTTCTAAAGACTAACCAACAAAATGTGCAGGGATTTTTGCATATAGTTTAGCTGAATTACCCCAGAACTGAAGTGAATAGTATCAATCACTTTGCCTAAGTCTGAGCATGATTGGAGATGGACCTGGAGCCTGTAATTCACGACTTTCCATTATTAAAAGAAAAATTTTGATGCATTCTTAAATGACACTGAATTGTATCCCTGATCCTGAAGAGGCCAATGTGTGTACATTCAAGTTCTGTACACAGATGGAAAAGTAGTAACGACATTGACTATCCTGTGACTTGCCATGGATGAAAGCTTCATACATACTTCATCAAACGAGGTTTCTTTTCTGACTTTTTTGGCTCAATCACAATACTGGTGTTGGTAGAAGAGTCTCTGAGCCCTCAGGGTCCAGCAATGGGTCATTTCACTGCTATTAAATAGGCTTCAAGACCTTGATTTTTTTTTTATTTCAACCACTGTTTTCCCCTCTTTTAAATAAGTAGGCTGACCCTCTCAAAAAAAACGTTTCTACAATTTCTTCTAGGTCTGTCTTTAATTCTCATGAGTTAAGTAAAATCTAAGATTGTTGGTGAAAAGGCCACAGACCATGGCTAACACGCCCCTGACCTAGGCAGGGAATGCCTGGGACTGTGTAAAGAACTGCTTAACAGAACATTGAGATCCTTGTCTTGAAATCAGATAGACCAGAACTCTTGCAACTCTGCCTTCTTACCATTTCTACATTCTTAGAGCTTTTTCTGTTCCTCTTTCCAGGACTTGCTATCCTCCCTAAAGATTAATTATTCAGAATAGTGAAGCTGGGGTCTACAGGAACAAAATTACCCATGAACAGTAATTTAACTCTGCACAAGATGAACCAATTGTTAACTATACACACAGATACAAACCTAAATTGAGATCATAAATAATGTTTCATTTTGATATATACATGTTTAAAGGTTCAAACCAGCAACTCAATATCTAATAAATCTTAGCTATCTTGATGAGTAGGTGTTGACTTTCTTTAAAAGAAACTTTAAAAAAAATAGACTGTTTGCTTCAGAGTTTATTATTTAACCAGAAAAATCTACTTATAATTACAGTCCTTTCCTATGAATAATAGGTGTCATCTGTGAATCACATCGGAATTTTCCTCTCAGAGTTTTATTTTCCAAAATGGTAACTTTAGGTTTGAGCTCTGCATGTATCATTTTCCAATTGGAGGGAAAAGGTTAAAAACAGAATATTCCAAAGTATGG